AGAGAGAGAGACTTCACCTTCACACACAGCTCTGCATCACTGTGTTCACTTCCTGTTTTTGTCTGTCTGGCTGCTTTAAAGACTCAAAGACACGTCTGAATGAGAACGCTTCATCCCGTTTAAAATATTTGAACAACATTCAGCCGCATTTCATCCAAGAGGAGTACATCATGTTCTCTTTCCGCACTCTTGGATCACACGACCTACCATTTCGATTTTAAATACTGAGAAATATCAGGTCGTTCACACGTGAAATAAAGCGCTTCATGTGAATGAATCAAGTGTGGAGTAGTAGGTTAGTGTGTATATACTCACTGCGGTCTTCAGCAGACACGTGTCCTCTCCGAGATAACACAGCTCTCCTGAACAACTCGTCTCCATCCACAGGTGATCCCCGTTCACGGCGTTCTCCTGCAGACACACACAGAGAGAGAGAGAGATAATGATTTATTGACCTGCATTATCCTCGCACATCTCTCTGATTCAAGATTATTTCCAGGCGCATTAAACTGCAACCATACGCGCATAAACACTCGGGTGTGAGAGCGGTCAACGAGCGTGTCAAGCACATAATTGAGGCTGCCGAGTAGGTCGCTAATTTCACGGTGGATGCTAATTCAAGGTGCTAATCAAAACACTATGATTCAAGTGCTAACTCACACACACACACACACACACACACACACACACACACACACACACACACACACACACACACACACACACGTGTTGATGTGTGGATAACATGAACACGTGTCGCCGGGTTCACCGTACAGGTTCAAGACCATGATGACATTTTTCTTTACTGACGTGTACTGAAGGGAACATTTAGTGTTCTTATGTGTTTTGTTCTGTTGTTTATAGATTCACCTCACAATTATTTAAATCGCACCTTTAATGTTTTGCACTGACTGTTATTTAATGTCTGTTTTTTGATAATTTTATTCTTTTTAAACATTGCTAAAAAACATTTTGATTCATCTAGGGGTATTCTTAAATATTCTTTATTCATATATATGTATGGGGGGGGGGGGTTGTGGTTTAATTTGTAACAGATGTTTCATGTCATGTCTTTGTAACCTGCTACTGGATGATTTAAATTTCCCTCTGGATCAGTAAAGTATCTATCTATCTATCTATCTATCTATTTGTACTTTTGTGCCGTTATGTCAACTGTGTTTTCTAAAAATACCCACAGACCATTTCTCTTCTAAGGGAGACGATAACGGCTAAATTAATCTACATCTTATGAATCTAGATTTGTATCACCAACTAGGGGTGACCCCTTAAATCGACCCCAAGTACTCGACAATCTGTGCGTCAGAGCCTCAGTCTCTTACATCATCAGATCACACACTCAGGTGAAAATGTATTTAAAAAATATACTCTCAACCCTTGTTTACTTTGAAGAGGACACTTTGAAGGACACATTGGATATGTGGCTGCAGGAGCTGGGGATCGAACCCCGGCCCTTGCGGTTGACAGAAGACTATCTCTACCACTGATCCACAGCCGATTGTGGATTCTAATAAAGATGATGAATTTGAAACGACCGGTACTTTCCCCTCTGCCAAAAGTAACCTGTCTCTGTCAGATGAAATTCCCAGTATGACCAATATGTGCAAGAACTCAACATTAACAGCATAGATCTAGCATTTCTAGATCTAGCACTTTAAAAAAAGGGAAACAGAAGAAGTCTTGGCCTTTCAGACTTAATTCAAGTTCTGTATTTTGATTGTTTTTGACATAATTCTTCTGCTGCTGAAATGTTGATAATAACTAGTGACTGAAACCGAGAAGAGCCTGATGTTCTTCTAATCTCTCCGTGTGTGTCTCTCTCTTTCTCTCTGCAGGAAATCATGGCAAACATTCTGCTTCTGCCACAGCCGTCAAGTCAGCTTGCAGTAAATCCCTTTGAATGGCCATCAGTAAACACTTCCATTTCCTCATCCTCTCTGGTGACTTACAGGAAAACACAAAATACGAAACAAAAAAAATACAGCGTGCTATTTTGTGATTGATAAAGCCTCAGAGCCCCAGAGCGAATATATAATCACACTATCTGACTCATCTGGGTCTAAAAGGAGGTCAGTCACTGCATTAAATCAACCCTAAAGTGTATACTAATGAGTGATTATGTATAATGAATACCAGTGTGTGTGTGTGTGTGTGTGTGTGTGTCACACAGACAGCTAAAGGCCAGTGGTGACGTGGTGGAAGTGTCCCTGCAGACAGAGCCGGAGGGGACTCTCAGATGTGGGCTGACACAGTTCACATCTTACAATCAATAATACAGCACTTTTTTTTATTTGCTTATCATTACGAGTGTGTGATTCACTCCATGCCTGATTCAACAGTTAAACACACCTCTTAAAAGCGACGGATAGAGATGATGCTCTCTTGTTATTGAACTTCATTTCACATGAAGGATTTTGATTCTGAAGTATTGTGGATGCTGTTTCTGAGCACACAGGAGTCTTTTGTTTGTTGTGCGTTCTCA